GAGTCTGAGATAAAAGAATGCTGCTAAAGGAAAGCTGGATGTGAGCAAGACCTCTGTGTTGAGCAGCTGAGGATTGGCTTGAGAGTTGCTGTTGGCAATCAAGGTGTTTTGCAGGTGATTTTAGATGCTCCACAAGATATTTGGCTAGGACTGTTCCTGGCCCTTTAGCCATCCTCCATGAATGAACTGGCTCAAATCAAAATCATAGCCTGGAAGAATGTTCTTTTCATCCCAAAGGGTAAAATAGAGCATAGCTACTGATGTTCTGCTGAAATCCTTCATTTCATCCAAATACATAAAAGGTCTGATGACAGCATCTTTCTAGAACAAAAATATTTGAATCAGTCCTACTTGATAGCTATTAGTTTCTGAAAAAATCGTAACAGTTTTATATCCATATAAAAGCAAGTTTCTCATCTGAGTTAACTATTGTAGTGTATTTGTCTTTTATTAGTTCTCAGGTTACAGCCTGAGTTGGGTGGATCTGTAGAGTGACCACTACACCAAAAATTAGCCTTCAGTCCCCACAGGCCACCGAGCACTCAACTCCCAAGCTCATCAGTTGCTTCTGATCAGTTGTTTGTGTTGTTTGTTTAGTTGGTTTTTGTGTTTTTGTGTTTTGGGGTATTTTTTTGTTTTTTGGTTTTTTTTTTTTTAATCTGACATTACCTCAATTCTTGGAGCTGTTTCCTTGGTCCTTCCTTATATTTTTCATTGTATTTTGGGTACATTAACAGCATTAGCTTTTAACAAAAGCTTTTCTTTTGGTCAGCTCTTGTGGCCTAATGCTCCAACCACTCCAACCACTAATGCTAAACTACTTAATACATCATGAGAATATGCAGAATACAGTTAATAAAAATTTATGAGAAAATTTATGTTTGTTGCTGAAATTGAATGTTTATTTTCTTTACTTGTGCCAGTTTTGATCTTCCCATCAGTTGTCCCAGGCAGACTCATCTGACAGGCTGCTGTTTTGGTCTTAGGAAAAAGAAACATGTTTGGAAAAAATTGAGATCACTACATGGATATTGCATAGTCCACCTCCAGAAGAAATGTATTTAAGAGTCTAAGAGTGATGAATATGCAGACACCAAAGAAAAATGGAGGGGTTTCCAACATCTTTTGCTCCTATGCTCCTTTGGTATTCCCTGTGTAGGCCAATATAACACAGAAATATTTCCAGAACAACAGTGTCCCCTCATCTCTGCATCCAGTGCTTGAAAACTGTAACAGAGTTTGCAGCATTTCCAGGCCAGTCCTGGCTGGTTTTTGTGGTTGTTTAGGCAGATGCATGCAGAGTTTGAGTTCACCTTAGAGCAGCAGCATCAGTGCAGCCTACACAGATATAAAATGAAAAGTGAGTTCAATGCTGATTACGTGCTGTGAGGACTGAATTACAATTGTTGTGTGTGTGTGTATGCATGTGTACATGCAGTCATTATACATTTTCAAAGATCTGTAACTGGGATCTTTTTAAATGGGAAGAATTCTTAAGAAAGTTGTTAACCTCCTTATAAAATTCATTTAGTTTAATGGCCCTGAAATGCATGGCTGCAAGACTAAATTATAGAGGTATTTTATAATACACAGTATTTTGCAAGAACCTATATATGTTGTATTTTAAGAACATTTTCAAGTAATAAAACTTTTTGTCCTCATGAGTTTAGGGGGTGGGGTTGTTTTTTGTTGGGGTTTTTATTTTTTTTTTAACACATTCTTTGTAATGCTTAAGGGTTACTTTTTATCCTCAATGTAACTAAAAGTACAATATGAAGTTCCAACAAATTTGCCCAACTGTCCCAGGATAAATTCAGAACTCAACTACACAGGAGAGACACCCTCACCCCTGTCCTCAGAAATTTAAAGCAGAGCTCCCAGAGCCTCCCCGAGATCCTCTATGAGCCTCTGCCAGAATTCTACTCCTCTTTCTCTTGGATATCTTTTCACAGCTGTTTCATTTTTCCATAAATGCTAATGTTTTTTAATTGTGGAAATGAGTTTAATCTCAAATTAGTTT